ATATATATATATATATATATATATATATATATATCATATTATATGAAGATAATAAGATAAGATCATTCTTATCATTTTTTGGATCATGTGCCAATTTCCATTGGCTCCAAATATTACTAGAGGGATATTTATAGAACAAAGACTCAATATGAGTTATTCTAATCTTTCATGCAGCCATTGATTTGGCTACACGGGTGACCCAATCATGAATTTCTTTTTCTTCTATTTCTCAAAAGTTTTGTTAAGAGGGAGAATTGGTAGGGATGCAAATTGGACAGGCCCATCTCGTGTCCAAACTGGCCTAACCCGTAATTTTATATGGATAGGGTTTGGACTTTCAGTTATCAGTAGACCTGTTCATGGGTCGGGTAGCCCGATGGCCTGGCCCGCACCCCGGTTGGGCTTGGTCATGTAATTAGGCCCGCGGGCCTAACACAGTAAGCCCGATTGTGTTTCGGGCCAGGCTCGGGATTTGTCAAAAAAGCCCGGCCCGGCCCAACAGCATTATATATTTTATAAAATATATAATATGTATTTTATATATTATATAAAATATATAAATAATATAATATTTATAATAATATATACATTTTTTATTCTTTCCTTTATAATCTCTCTCTCTCTATCTATTCAGCTGCTAACAGTATAGGCTAAATTTCGGGCTCGGGCCCAGCCCCGGGCTTCGGGCTTTTTATGAGGGCTGGGCTCAGGCCCAAGTTGTAGGCCCCATGGTCAGGCCAGGCTCGGGCTCGGGCCTTAGAAAATTCTATTAATATAGAGTGAAAGCCCAACCCGGCCCGGCCCATGAACAGGTCTAGTTATCAGCTTGGGGCCGGATCCAAAAGCTTGAATATTTTTATTTTATTTTTTTGATTGGACCCGGACCTAGCCCATAGATGGTCTAAATTCAGAATGATCTTAAATATGCATATATGTTGTATACATGCATTTAGTGTAGGCTGATTGACCAACCCAAGCCTAGGATGAGCCCAAACCTAACCCTAATTCATCAGATTTAAGTATAGGTGGGGCTTGGGTTAGATATATCAGCTTTGACCTCAGGCTTAGTCCAAGCTCGGGCCTTAGGCCCAATTCTTAGAATTAAGCGTGCATTGAACTTAAACCCCAGGGCTGGCTTACGCCACGAGGAAATTAGGGATGTCAATGTGAACCCAACCCAAATTGTCCCAAAAATAGTACATCTACATTTATACTCAATCAAGGTCATATTTACAAATCTTACAATACTACAATATCAATAGAGCCAAACCCAAAACCCAATTAAAGTTTGGCCCAACCCTAACAAATCAGGTTGCATTAATGCGTCATTATCACTCGATCCATTTACATCCCTATGCAGAACATCTCATATATTTTATCTTTTTACAATTTTTTTAACAATGCAAACTAGCGGGGAT